CCTCCCCGGCCTCGCCGCTCGTCGCCCCCGGGGGCTGCGGCCCACGCGCCCCGCTTCCCCTGCTGGAGATCGGAACCCGGAGATCGGAGCTTAGTGCCCAGTGTAAGCCGGAAAGGGAGGACGGGCTTGGCAGTGCATGGGCGGGCGGGTGGATGGATGGATGGACCGAGGGACGGATGGACAGACGGAGGAGTAAATGGGGCCTTTGCAGCCCGCAGGTTTTGTCACGTGCCTGACGACTCCGCTGACGGTGCTAGGGAAGCAAATGATTGATGATTTCTGTGCTTAAAAGAACAGAGCGATATTGAGACATCCTAGGACTGAAAGAAAGGCCAAGGCGAGGACTCAAGGAGTCTCTGCACCACCACCCCCGCCCCGTTTGCCTCAGGCTTTCACAGCTTCCTCCTAAACTGGGAAAATGGAAAGCAATTTGGAGGCTGCCAAGCCAAAATGAAAATCTTGCTACCTGTGAAACTGAAGGGACATCGTCATGCCGTATTCCTCTAACAGAAGATGTCCAGAGGAACTTTATTCTTGCCCTCTCCTCCCATACGCTGCTGATATTCACAGAGGGTCTGGGTGTGTGCCAGATAGCTCAGAATTACTCGTCAAGGTGCTGCCACCAATTCTGTAAGGATTAGGAGGACCAGAAAGAGAAAAGTCATTTTGCCATACACAAGCATGTTTCCAGCTTTCAAAGGCAAGTTTGGGAAGTTGTAAATAGCTCAGACCAAAAAAAAAAAAAAAAAAAAAGCTCAGACAGTTTTCATTCCTCTGCTGGACCAGGTGTGGAGAGAGGAGGAGAGGGGAATAAACCAGCTCCTCTTAACGTCCTTGTCGAAGCAGAATAGAAAGTGCCCCAGGTCAGGAGCGCTCTCATGTGCCCCAAAACATTTCCGCATCCCCACCCTTCCCGAGTCAGGCGACACTCAAAGGAACAAATATTTACCTAACTTAGCCCCTGTTCTAAACGCCACAGGACTAAGCTCATTCGCCCAGACTACTGTACCCACGCACCGGTCTTACCCATCGCCTTCTCTTCCCCAATTCACCAGATTTTCTCATTGCTCAGCAGAATCCCCTTTGTTTTCAACGTCTGGGATTTCTTAACGTTCTTGTTGTAGCTGAAAGCTACTTCTCCCCTTTTATCTCCTCTCTCTTCCCCTCTGCTCAGTCTACACCCGGCAAGTTGCTGTGATTTAGTAAATTTGTACAGCATCATTGGGCATGCTTGCTAGGTGTGTCCATTTTCCTCCTCAAAGAGAACTGCCTGAAGGAAGGTTTATGGCTAGTTACCGTTGCCAGGCAGGTAAAGTATTAAGAAGAAGATTCAATCAATAACACATTTCGCTATTTCTGCTACTAGTATTATTAATTCTCATTACACAACTCATAACTTGTGTCACTGTGTATTGGAGGAAAATTATGTTCATCACCTTAACATTTCCAAGATTGACACTTTCCAAATATAAACTGAAAGAGTTAGATAGATCTCTCAAAACCCAAATGATTTTGGATTGATCATAAGATTTTACTGTGTTCTCTTTCATACTTTTTTCCATTGCAGTGGGGACCTTTATATTGTAAATAAGAAAGCACATGGATGTTGTGAGGGGTTTTTCTGTTTCTTTCTTTCAAAACCACAGAAATATGGTGTAATATCCAATTATCATCATCCAAAATCTGTTTTACCATTTTCCTTGTGAATCCTTATGTTCTGCAATATTCTAAACAAATTAAGTTAGAAAATGTAACAGAACATCTGCTGTACATATCAGATAGAATATCTGAGTAGCAGATAAAAGACCTGTAACCTCACCAAGGTAATATAATTCCAGCCCAGACAAAGATATTTAAAGATCTTTATTTCCAGCTTCAACAATCTTATCTTGAGAAAGGTGTGAACTGTACAAATCGCTTTGAAATCTAAGAAATAGTGTTTATTTTTGCAAATAATTAGTGATACAGTAATTCTAAATTGTGACCTACTGACATAGATTCCTTTTCCCCTCTTTCTTTCACTTGACAAGTATGTGTTAATCATGCAGAAAGCCTTTTTCTGTTTCTGAGAAGAACATGAAGAAATATAGTGACTGACTTTTGCCTTCAAACAGGCTCCAGTCCAGTTTGGAAGGATAAGATTGTGCCTTTTTTCTCACAGCTCACATCTGCTGCAATCAGAAAATCCTGTTGGCTCTACCTGAAAACATATCCACAATGGAGTCACTTCTCAGCATCTCCTCCCCCGCTACCCTGCTTTGAGTGGATCTAATCTGTCCCGGAAGAAGGTGAAGGCACCTTATCTGTCTCCTCCGTTAGAGTCCCTTCCCATCCGTCTGTTACTCAGGCAGCAGACAGAATGATCATTGGAAAATTAAATCAGATTGCTTCTCTACTTAAAAACCTTCCCGAGACACCCTGTCACTCAAAGTGAAAGTTGTCTTTAAACTGCAAACGAGGCTCTTCAGGACAAGTCTGTTGCCACTTCTGACCCGGATTCGATTCCTGCGACTCTCCTTCTTAGTCTGTTCCCACAACACTGTGCCCCTAGACAGTCCAAGCATGCTGACACCTCAGCACATTTATTTGCATTGGCTGTTTGTTCCTCCTGCCTTTAGACTGGGATGCTCTTCCCTCAGATGTTGCTCCCTTTCTTTCTTGAACTCTTTATTCAAATAGCAATTTTGCATTGAGGCCTATGTTGTCAGTCTTCCATAAATCAGTGTATCCTCCCTTCAGGTTCTTCCCTCTTACACTGATTTTTTTTCATTTAAAAATGTGTATCCCTTCTAATATAACTGTACCATTTACCTCTCAACTATGTTTGTTGTGGGTCTTCTAGAATTTAACTTCCATGAGATCAGAGAGTTTTGCTCCCTCTCCTATTCATGGCTATATGGCTATATCCCAAGTGTCTAGTATAGGAGTCAACATATATCACGCTTTTAAAATTACATGCTGACTTACTGAAGGAAAGAATTCACGAATACAATTCTGTTTGAACCACCGGGTAGACTGGAAGAACCCACCCAACAGCTTTGACCTGAACTGTATTAGCATCAAGTTCCACAGTGGAGAGAAAGGATGCACTCTCCGAACACACTTCCTGCGCACCAGAAAGGGAAAGAACAATTCTTTTTCCCACCAAACACCTATTTTCCCGAGGACTGCTTTGAGCACTAATTAGATGGGGATATGGCAAAAGCATTTTGATTTTCTAGGAGAAAACATTGCATTAATTTGAGACTTTTTATTGTGTGAAAGGATGGTAAGTGACAAGGGGAAGTACAAGGATGAGAACAGAGCTGACAGCAGATTGCTTGCTACTCCTACCACTGCCCTGGCGTTTTATAGGATCCTTGCCTTAAAAGTGCTATCAGGCAGGGAGAAGGAAAAAAGTGGTTTTGTAATTCTTACCCTACATGGCCAATTTTTAAGAAATACCTTCTTTCTCGTAATTAACTTTCAATTATTTACAGCACAGTATGCTCATAAATAAATTATTCTCTACTTTTCAATCCTTTTGTCTATTTTGTGGCCATCTTCCTGCTAATTAAAACTTTGATTCCTATTTCAGAAGCCTGGCAAAGGAAAAGGAAAATTAAACACTAAGATTTTTCCTTATTATCGTTAGTGTGTTCCTGTTTCTTTCTCATTGAGATGTTCAAATTCAGGTTTAGAGTACTTCCAAAATGATCCAACTTTTGAATGTAAACTTCTCCATTAAAAGGCAAGTTAATTGGGCACCTTTGATGAGTAAGAATCTGAACAGTGTTTGGGAAGGTATACCAAAAGCGTACACACTTTGTCCTGCCCTTTTAACAATGATGTAAGACCACCAGAGAATGTAGAAAGGCTTGTCCCTGACCTCACTGCCTAAAATTAGGAAATACTGGGCAAGTGACTTGGCCACTCTAGGCCTCTGTTTCCTCAACCCTAAAAAGTATTTATATTACCTGCCTTATTTTGCTCTGCTGTGAAAATGCCTTAATCCAAAGTGTGTTAGCTTTCTATCGCTGTTAACAAATACCTGAGATAATCAATTCATAAAGTTGTGAAGTTCTCAAGAAATTTTTCAAAGCGTGGCAGTGTCATAGCTGGACCTTAAGTACCCCCATAAGGCCATGTGCATATAAAAATGGGCCCGCCCAATCATGGATTAGAAACTCCCAAATCTATAACCATGCTGGGAGGCTTGGCAGGGGGTGGGAACATGAGGTGGGGCCTACTGTGAGACACACTGGTCCTTGGGGTCATGCCCTTGAAGGGTAGAGTGGGAGCTCAGCGCCTTCCTCTTTTTTGCATCCTGCCCTGTGGTGACTGGTTTTGCTCTGCCATCGCATGTTTCTTCCCGCCCACTTTCCAGTTGTTATGTGTAGAGCTTTGAACACTTCAAAAGAAGCATGGTGAACACAGTACCCATGAGGGTCCGCCAACCACTTGTAATGGCTGAGGAGCCGATTTCCTCTGTCAGTATACCCACAAAGTGACAAATGAAGGTTATATTAAGGCACTATATTGTTCAGCAAAGCAGTTTACAGGCTCTTCCATGTTCACTTTGCAAACATGATGGTAAATTAAACATTTGAGTAACAGTTTATTGGACTCAAAACAAGCTGCTAAGGCTGACAGAAAAAGTATACTGATTAATTTACAAGGACACCCTGGAAATGAGGACTTCATAGAAGATTCAGGGGTTTGCCCTCAGAATTTCCCCGTTCTAACTGAACTTGAAAACAGGGACTCAGGTAACAAAGAGGGTGGCCAACTTTATCAGATTTATAAATGGCACAAAACAGATATAGCTGATGCATTGGGCCCATGGAGACCCAGGATGAACCAAACTTAACAGGATAAATGTTAAGTCTCCAATTCAATGAGTGTAACTGTGACAGTGTTTACCTCTTCAGAGTTCAGATGTTGAAGTCCTAACCCCCAAAGTAACGATACTAGAAGATGAGACCCTGGAGACATGCTTGGGTCACAAGCAAGGAGACCCCATAAATGGAATCGGTTTTTGTAAAATACAAAGCAAATTTTATAATAGAAAGTTATAGTGAGAACAGTGCCATCTATGAGGAAACAAGCCCTCTCCAGACTGAATCTGCCAGCACCTGGATTCCGGATTTCCCACCTCCAGAAGGTGATAAATCTGCTGTTTATAACCTACCCATTTTGTGGTGTTTTTGTTAGAGTAGCCAGAATAGACTAAGACAGTGAGAGAGGTCTGGATTAATACTAAGTATAGGAAGGACAAGATATGACTGACACCAGTTCAAACGGAAAAAAATAGTTGGTTTTTGTTGGTTATGTTTATAATTAAAGGTCAACTCAATATTTTTTCCAAAAAGTTATAACACAGTCGAAACCAAATCGCTGACAAGGTAGTGGTGGAGAAGGACAGAAGATACGAGTGGGGCAGGTGTCAGAAACTGGGCTCATCACAGCATTGTTCTGTACAGGCACATCTAGAATATTCTGGACGTCAAGTGCCGAGGACATAACCTCCCAGAATCAACCCTTTACCTATGTTCTGCCTCCAGCTCTGTGATGTAAAATCCATCGGCAGGGCAATTCTGTCCTGTCTTCCCTACTTGCTGCCTATGCAGAGCCTGCAGTGGTGCCAGGAATGCAAGGTGGGTGTTCATGGAAGCGGTGGCTCAGCCCATCTGGAGAAAAGCAATAAGGATGGTGAAGGTACTCAAAGCCATTCTGATCCCTGGGAAGAAAAGAGACATTTTGTCCATACAAGAAAAGGGTTTGGTGACTCTCACTAATTATCTGAAAACATTAAAGGACTCTGAGTTGGAAAAAGAATCAAATATTATCTTTCAAGCCCCAGAGGACAACTTTAAATTTAATTGGTAGACATTTCAAGGAGCTATTCCAGTTCAGTGCAAGGAAGTACTGGCTAAAAATTCAGGTCATTCAAAATGGCCTTAACATGGAATTGAGCTACACATCCTTGAAGGTATCTGGGGAAAGTTGACAGGCTCTCCACCAAAAGGTTGCCTGTGGGTAGGGTCCTTGTTACACAGAGGATGCTGGTTTTGGTGACCACAGAAAATATTTCCAATTCTCTTATAGTCTAACTACAAAATAAGGTGATATAGGAGAAAGTAATTTGAAACCTAAACACTACTTAGAATTCTTTTACTCTAAATTGGGATAAGATGTGACATTAAAAATGAAGATGAGAGATATCAATGATAAGTTCTTTTTCCAAGTTGCTTTTGGGTTATAGTGGTACCAGGGAAGACCTTATGAGGGACAGGAGAGTTATTTAGCCTGGAACACCAGACAGATGGGAAGAGGGTGCAACGACTGGCTGTATGGTGAAGGTGGCAGAAGCTGTTTAAGCCTTTAGTGCACACCCAGCAGCATTTGTTATTTTTTATCAGGAGGTTGGTCTCCAATGCTTCTCACCTAAGCACTCTTCCCATCAGCGCCATGCACTTCCTCAGAAAATGTAAATCCTACCATAGTCCAGTAAGAAGGTACCTGCTCACCCCAAGACAAAAACTCATTTGTAGTTACTTTAGTCTTCATTCCTCTAATTCTCCTATTCTTGTCAGTTCTACCTATAAATATTCCTTAGCTCTTTAAAGTGATCAAGCATATTGCTTAGCTCTTTACACTACTGAGTTCCTACACATTTAATTTCCTTTTAAGGAGAAAACATACCAAAGGGAAAAAATGAAGGAACTGAACTGTTTATATAAACTACCTACTGCACTTCTGTGACTTACAGAAAAACTGGAAAAACTTATTTATAAATTAATCATGACTATCAACGTTTTTTAGAAGTCACCAATAACATAAAATGCTTTGATTGATTGGTGATAAAGCAATCTGTGGTGAAAAGCTAGCAAGCTAAATTAAGTTTCTATTTGTATTTTATAAACTTCTCAGCTCTTTTGTTGTTTTTTGGTGGGTGGATATTTTTGTGTGGGTTTTTGTTGTTCTGGTTTGTTTGGTTTTTGGTTTATTAAGATAAGATCCTGCTATGTAGTTTAGGCTGGCCTTGAACTCACTATGTAGGCCAGGCTGTCTTCAAATTCACAGCAATCCTTCTGCCTCAGCCTTCTGATTGCTGGGATTACAGGCATGCGCCATCACGCCTGACCTCAGCATTTACTCTACCTGACAGAGATTTTTTTTTTCCCAATTCTTAAACATTAGACTCTGAGAACTTTTTATTTCTTACTGTGAAAAAATTCCAGGATAAAATTTCAGGTATGAAAATCAATGTTATCTACCTTTGTCTGGTACAGCCCATTAGCTAAATACTTGGACCATGAGATTTTTCAAGGTTTTTTTCAAGATCTCAGCGTAACCTATATCTATCTGGAAGCCAGTGTTACCTCAACAGTAGGCCAAAACACTAGCGCCATTTCTTCTTGTCTTTTTTAAGTACTAAACACGTCACAGAGCTCCCCAAATACCACAGTTTTTAAACTCAACAACTACCTATCTCTTGGTTGGCAGTAGAGCTTTGGCTTTGGTTTTCATTCAGTTACAGGAGTGCAGTGTGTCGAGAAAGAGTTGAACACATTTGAGGGATGGGCAAAAGGAATACTGTGGCTAACAGTCCCTTTCTTGTATACCACTTGCGATGTTTCAGGCCTTAAGATTTATTCTGGCTTAAGGCTGTCTCTCCCTTCCAGGACACGTACATGATGCATATTAAAGCAGTCCATCCGGAGCACACAATTTTCCATCCCAAGGAAGCATGAGGTGAGTTCCTATATGTGACTGACACCTCTCTATCCTGGCCCAAAGCAAAACATTTATGCTAGGGCATCTTTAAGGAAAGAGGACCCAAAGTCTTCTAATTGAGTCACTGCAGGTGGAGAGAGGCCTGGAAAGCTGCCTGTGATAGTTCCTGCTGACTCCAAGGCACCTACTCAGAAATAGCACTGTTTTATCTGAAGCCCTCAGTGCTTCATTCATTAAGCATCTACACTGTGCCTGACAAGTTTCTAAATGTTCACAGCTCAAGTAGATGGAAAATCACTTGGGCCCAAAACAGGAATACCAGGAAGCTACTGAAGTACCAGGGAGAATGAGCTCAACTCTTGTTGGCTCACTTTCTTTGTCCGCCCCAGGTATCAGTTCCTTAACTTCTTATTCTCTCCCTCCCCTTTCTCCTTTGATGATTGCCTACAGTTCTGTGGTTTGAAATACCACCATTGCACTAGCAACAGCCCAGTTTTTCCTCTGAGCTACCAGTTTATATTTCTGTATTCTTTGTATCTTCATTGTAACATTCAATAGACATTTCTATTTAAACAGGTCAAAAACACATACAAATAGCTCCATACATCTTTATCCAGCAGATCTTTGGCAAAGAGGCAAACACTGAAGAAAAGATAGCCTCATTAACAAGCGGTGCTGGGAAGACTAGTCACCTACACACACACAAAAATGAATCTAGACTCATATCTCTTAAACTTTTCTAAAAGCAAATCAAAATAGATCAGAGGTTCAGATATAAAGCAAATACACTGAATCTCCTAGAAGATAAAATAAGGAAATTGTTGAAGACATAGTTGTAAGAAAGGACTTTCTAAACAGAATCCTAGTTGCACAGGAATCAACAAATGGGATCACATCAAATGAAAAAGGTTCTGCACGGCAAAGGAAAAACAACAGAACGCAGAGCTAACCTACAGAATAGGGGGAAAAAGTGCTGCCAACTACTCCTTGGATAGAGGTGTAATATCTAGAATATATAAAAAACTCAAAAAGTTAGACTCCCACAAAGCCAAAAAACCCATTTTAAAAATGGGCAATTAAAATAAATAGACACTTCACAAAAGAAGTACACATGGCCAAAAATTATGAAAATATGTTCATGAATCTTTGGCCATTCGAGAAATGCAAATTGATACAACGTGGAGAATCCATCTTACTCCAGGAAGAATGGCTACCATTGAGAAAGCAAATAAAAACAAATACCTCAAGGTTATGGAGAGAAAGGAACCCTTCTACATTGTTGGTAGGGATATAAACTAATACAACTACTGTGTAAATCAGTATGGAGATTCTTCAAAAAACTAACAATAACAGTTTCACTTGATGCAGTTATATCTCTCTTGGGCATCTTCTTAAAAGAGTTAAATACACCATATTACAGAGATACATGCAAACTCATGTTTATAGCACAATTCACAATAGCTAAATTATACAGGTGGCTTGTATGTCCATCAACAGATGAGTCAATACACAAAATGTGGTATATTTACATGGTGGAGTACTACTCAGCCATAAAGAAGGAAAAACTTGAACCATTTATAAAAAAAATAGATAATCTTGAGACCATAATAAGATGATTACATATTGCATGACTTCTTTTATAAAAGAATCTCAAACTATAAATAATTTAAATAACAAAATAAAGGAGAGAGGATAAGATGGGAGATGAGAAAGTGCTCTGAAGAATAAAGGATAAAAGGGTGGGAGAGGAAGGGGAATAAAAATGATTGAGATGTGATATGCATATGCACTAATTCCTCAAAAGCAATGTAATTATTGTGTATTACAAACATGTACTAACAGAAAATTAAGACTAAAACAGGTCAAAAACAGAAAATTAGTTTCTCTTCCCCCAAATTCCCGGAATTATCCACATAAATAAGATGATTCCTACCCAGTTACATGGGCAAAAATGTAAGAGTTATTATAGTAACCATAATTCCTTTACTTTTATGAACTCCATTAACAAGTCTTGTTAGTATATCACATCAGAATAACTCAGTTTTCCTATCTTCTCTGCCACCTGCTGCTCCAAACTACCATCATCTCTTACCTCAACTAATTAAGCTCCCAGCTAGTATTTTTGCTTACCCACTTTAATGCACTCTCCAGAGACTACACTTGGTGATATAGTTCAAATACATAAATCAAGATGTTCAGCAGCTTAAATCCTTCAATAGTTTCCCAATGTCCTTTGAATAAAATATAAATGTCTACCTGTGGCCTATAAGACCCTAAATCATCTGGTTCCTCATCGCCTCTCCAATTTCATCTTGTGTCACATTCCTGTGTTAGTCAGCTTTCTGTTACTACAACAATTACCTGAGTCAATAAAGTTGCAAAGCAGAAAGGTTTATTTTTACTCAATTTTAAAGGTTCCCGTTCATGATTGGTTGATCCATTCATTGCATTTTTGGCCTATGGTGAAGCAAAATACATCCTGGTGGAAGTTTATGTGCCACAGCATAATGACTCCCTTCATGACCATAAAGGGACAGAGAGAAAGAAGTAGGAGTACTATTACTCCCTCAGGGGCCCACCCACGATGACCTGCATACCTTTCACTAGACCCATACCTCTAAAGTTTCGACAAGCTCCCAGTAGCATGAAATTGAGGGCCAAGCCTTTAGCACATAGGTCTTTGGAGAACATTTCAGATCAAAGCTACAGAATCCCCCTTTGCTCCAAACCCAGAGAATAAATCATCTCTATCTTATGCAAGGTGTTTCAGAGACTAGAAAAGAGGAAACATCTGCCAATAAATAAAACTAGTATGACCTAATATCAAAGCTGAGTAAGAACAAGACAAAAAAGCACATGACAGATCAACCTCACTTGTAATTTAGAGCCACAAAATAGGTAAAAGATGAGTTTATTTAATATAATATATATCAGATACATCCTATCTATATTCCTACACCATATGGTGAAGACTATATGTTAAAGTGCAAGGTTAACAATATCAGAAAATCCTTCAGAAAAATGACACCCCAGTTGCTTTGGTATGCTGGGAACTTTGAACTGAAGGTCACTGGAAGGGCATCAGGAGCAAAGTTTCTTTTTGAGCTTCTTCTACCCTCTGCCTCCTGATCTCTCCTCCCACACACCAAGATCAGTAATAAAAACCAGAATTCCTCCTCCCCAGAGCCACACACAAAACCTAGAACTATTACCGTAACATTACCCCACCTTTCAGTGTAAAACCCTCATTCCAGAAAGGATCCCACCCTGTGCTTGAGAAGAAGCAAGGCTGCACAAAGAGCCCAAGAAAAATCTGGGCAAGCAGTTTCCTCTCAGTTTCTTATTCAGTCTGTTTTCTTGTGTGAAGTCATACCCTTTTTGTCCATTCACGTTTCAACATGTCCATTCACCTAATCTAAGCATAAAAGTTGTTTCCCTAAGTTATTCTGAGGCTCCTATGTCATGTAAAATTGATTAAATAAATGTGTTATGCTTTTCTTTTTTTAACCTAGTCCATTAACCTGTAAGGAGTGTTAGCCATGACACTTCAGAGCAGTGAGGAAAAGCATCACACCTTTCTTTTCCTACAACATTAAGAGAGAAAAAATCCCATATTATCATCTCAATAAATGGATAACCTATCCAGGACATATAGGCTATGCTCTAATAATAGAAAACTCTAAGACCTCAGTGGCTTAAAATAAAAATAGCCTATCTCTTACTCAAGAAAATAAATGTATATTTGATAAAATAATGTATATAAAATACATATATTACACTGAAAATAGAAAAATTACAAGACATCTCCTATTTTATACCCCTGCAATAATAGCATGGCCTGATTATGCATATAAACAAGCAGAAAACACAGTTTCTACTCTAGTGAACATTCTAGTCTTCAATCCACTTGTAAAGAATGAAGTGGCCCAGAAATGCCATCCTCTCATTAACCCTGGAAAAACTGACTTGTAACAGGCTTTTGTCATACTTTGCCTCTCCTGCCAAAAGGCGTGTTCCCAGTGAGGTAGCCTGTGCCCTAGAAATGTAAAGGCATTCAGAAACATGTTCTAAATCCTTCCAGGGGAAAACATGACCTTTGAAATTAAATAGAAATATGACTCTATGAACTAGGAGAGATATGGAGTTTCTTGATTCCACTTTCCTGAAATCCAGAGTGCAGCCTTTCTTCCATCTCCACAGTGTGGGACAGTGAGTATGCAGAGGAAGTAGACCAGGACACAGCCCACTTCTGCATATTATAGCTGCATAACCTTAATTTCATTGACCTCCCAATGTCCTCATTTGAAATAGGTGGGGATCATAAAATGTACCTCACACTATAGTCATGGAATCAGATGTGATAATGCCTTTGATCATCTGACATAGTATCTGGCACAGATGGGGACCTCACTAAAGAACAGTTCCTTTTCCCCCACATTTTCTTAATACGATAGCTTTATCCATACCTGAAGTAAACCTTGTTCTCTGAAACAACTAAGTTGAGAACATAGCTAACAAAAAGTGGCAAAGGTCACTTGTCCTCTCTGCTAATACTTATACCATTAAAAGGATTTTTGGAATCCGGCACCACTTGTCAGTGATGCATTGATGACTCACAGCAACATTTATAAAGTTCTGTGGCCTTCTTAGGAGAAAGACATTAAATAAGAACAAGCAAATTTTCAGTCATATCATTCTTCAGTGGAAATGCCATGCTTAATCGACCACATGCAAACTTTCTAACGTACTTTTATTTTTCTTTCTATACCATATCCTCAGAGGGTCCTTAGGTCAAGATTTAGCAATACTGTTTCTATCGCCAAAAATATTGATGGGACACCATTCAGAATAACCAAAGTTTAAAAAGTTAGACTGGATAGGTAATAAAACATTAGCTTATCCCAGAAGTAGATTTGAAAAGAGATAGCAGGAAGCTCTTATGGAAACTTGCTTGAAAATCATGGTCATCTTACCTTAATCATGAGTCCAATTTAACTACATTATAATGCCATGGACAT